TATTACTCCGTCTCTCAGCCGGGTTGACGTCACCCCGGCGCCTCGAACGTCGTACGGTCCGACAGTCAGTCGAATGCCAAAGTGCAAAATGCGCCTGGCTGTTGGGCTTCCTCCGCTATATCCGTACCGTCCTTGCGCAGGGGTCATGCTAATCTTCTGTGAATCGTTCCAATTTTAACGGATGTCCCGAAGAACTTGGTCGGGTCTATGCCCCCACAGCAGCACCAGAGGGCACTCCACCTGCTGTCCGCCTGCGCCTGGCACGATTCACGTCCGGGTTCACCCCGGATCTTGTTTTTGTCCTACGTCACCCTTACGTAGGGGCCCTGCTAATCTCCTCTGCAGTATTCCGGCCCTGACGGATGCCCCAAAGGACTTCGCCCGGGCCATGCCCCGCGACACTTCGAGGGCTGAGCAGGCCCAGGCAGACCAGAACTTTTGGCTTTCGTCATCAGGCTCCATCATTTGGCTTGGAGAAAGGTCTGTACTTTAGCAGTTTAATGGTGTACCCATTGAGATGGGCCTTTGAGTGTCGGCCTTGCCCACGGCGCCGCGTCCTAAGACAAGACGAGGTGCGACTTCGACGCAGCCACAAAAACAATTTGTAATTGCACTTCATGCAACCCCCCCCCCCCCNTTCCCCTTTTTGCTGCGCCCGCTGATTCATCTCTCCGCCCCTTCTTCCGTGGATGTACCCAGCGCGAAAGCTGGTCTAGGTCCGGTCACTCCTCAACACCCCATCGTTCCACTGCGCTGCGCTGCCCATCTCCTTTGCGCGTATGTACCCGGCGCGGATCTAGCCCGGGTTCATTCGCCCCCTCTTGCTGCTGCCCGTCGCCTCTCACCCTCGTGGCTGCCCCCTCTCCCCGACGGCTCCCCTTAGTCCGTCACCCCCTAGAGCAGCCGCCCGTCCGCTACGCTATCACTCCGTCTCTCAGCCGGGTTGACGTCACCCCGGCGCCTCGAACGCGGTACGGTCCGACAGTCAGTCGAATGCCAAAGTGCAAAATGCGCCTGGCTGTTGGGCTTCCTCCGCTATATCCGTACCGTCCTTGCTCAGGGGCCATGCTAATCTTCTGTGTATCGTTCCAATTTTAACGGATGTCCCGAAGAACTTGGTCGGGTCTATGCCCCCATAACAGCACCAGAGGGCACTCCGCCTGCTGTCCGCCTGCGCCCGGCACGATTCACGTCCGGGTTCACCCCGGATCTTGTTTTTGTCCTATGTCACCCTTACGTAGGGGCCCTGCTAATCTCCTCTGCAGTATTCCGGCCCCGACGGATTCCCCGAAGGACTTAGCCCGAGCCATGCCCCGCGACACTTCGAGGGCTGAGCAGGCCCAGGCAGACTAGAACTTTTGGCTTTCGTCATCGGGCTCCATCATTTGGCTTGGAGACAGGTTTGTACTTTAGCAGTTTAATGGTGTACCCATTCAGATGGGCCTTTGAGTGCCGGTCGCGCCCACGGCGCCGCGTCCTAAGACAAGACGAGGCGCGACTTCGACGCAACCACAAAACAATTTGTAATTGCACTTCATGCAACCCCCCCCCCCCGGTGAATGCAACACTCCCTATGTGACTTTATCGCAGCCTCGTGTCCCTGAATGGGACGCGATACCACAAGGACCCGAAAAAAAAAAAAAAAACAATATACAAATAACTGAATAGTAGTGAGGATCAGCGGGACTGCTGATACCTTACCAGTCCCGAGGGGCAGGCCCGCCGCCGCTCTCGCCAGCAAAAATCCGAGGGGGAAAGCCTCGTCGGGCCCTCAACCCCTCGGTCTCCTCCGCGCCGCTTTGCTGCTTTCGGGCCGACGCCCGCCGGCCTCAATCCCCGAACCTCTGTAGTAATAGCCCGATGCCGTCACCTTAAGGGCTAAGCCCAAGCCTGGGGCTGAGTCCCGCATAATACCATATAGGCAATGCGGCGCGATGCTTTTGGGCCAGCCAAACGGCTGCGCGGCTTCCATTTGCCCGCGCCGGTTTGCTTATACCATGCCATAACTACCCCGCTCGCCATCCTACCACACCCCGCTTACCGCACGAAATCGCGCCATTATCGCCGATGCCGTCGTCGGGGTCGTTTCTCCGCACACGCGCTTGACCTACTAATCAAAAAGAAAATATCCTTAATCCCTGCTTAATAAAAAAATAATAACATCACCAAACGAAACCACCGAGGTCCGGGCCGACTTTACGATTAAATAACAGAAAAAGAATCACGCTCGCCTTAAACCTGCGCGCCCACACACTCGCTATTGCGGTCAACCACCCAGTCAAAGCAATTACTTACGCAACCGTGCTTAGCGGGGTATACTTATATTCTAAACCAAAACTATTTTCTGTCACTTGCAAAAACTAGGGCGGATACTCGTGTAAGGGTATTCGCACCGACAGCTTACCGGACCATATTAAGCGACGTCCCCGTCGCTTCGCCAAATCTGAAAGCTATAAATCCATTCACACTCCAAATGCTGACGAAAGAAGTGAGTCAATCCGATTAGCCGACAAACACAGGGTAGAGGCCTCCATCAAACTATGCCTCCACAACTATATGCTGCCAGGTTTCGAACCCAGGTCCCTTACTACCCAGAAATTAGGACGCTGACAACATAAGTTCCAAAGACCTTCCCAATCGTCCTCTCCTCGGTCCTAGACAACCTTCGGCTTCTCGTTGGGTGTCCCTAGTCCTGACAAAAAGTAGGGACGCGGGCCTTAACCGAGACCTTTGAAGGCACTCTCGCCTTCCTTCTCAAAATCTCTCGCAATCAAATTCATCTAAGTATATATATAAACTTAATATCCACTCAGGTCTTTCTGCAGTCTAGTACAGAAAGGCAAGGTCTCCATCTTGGCCCACCATAGCCTGGTTGATCAGACCAGGACTACGGCCCACCGCATTGTTATTTAACGGCAGTACCCCCGTTGGTTACTTAATGATAGGGTTTCTCCTGATAAACACTCAATTAGGACCTCCCAAAATCTCAACCTTCACTATCCCACGGAGTAATTTCCCTGGGGCGGGTAACTCCCCTTAAACTCTTACCCCGCGGTCCCGCAACCAGGTTGCGCCGGTTTGCAGCCATCCAATGGGGTTACGCCCTAGAGGTACTAACTTCTTTTTCGTTAGCTTGGTCTTTCTTCAATATGTCTCAGAATTAGCACAAGTGGTTAAACGAGTGCATCGCAAAACAAAATCGCAGGCCCACTGCGCGATACGCAGGGGTCCGAAAGCATTTACCAGCCCTCCTTCAATAGGCATAGCATCCTTCGCACGCTTACAAGCAAAATCACCGCTAAATCCACCAGGCCGTGACCCCTGACTTTATCAGAGCCAGCAGCCACCCACCCTGAGACATCTCTCGCCCTATACTCATTGCGACTTTCTCAAACATTTCAAACAAAAAGTGGGCTTTTCCGTTAGACTTTATCACCCATCAAACAATTCGTCATGCCATAAATCAATTTACTCACTTCTGAGGATGAGTCTTCCAACAAAAAACCACTCCCCTTTTCCAACAATCCAAAAGGGGCTCTCTTCATAAACAAAACACCCCCTCTTCCAAAAATCGCGAGGGGTCTCGCCATAAAACAATACATTACCTCTTCCAGAATTCACGAGGGTCTCATCATAAGCCAAACACCCCCTCTCTCAAAGTCACGAGGGGTTTCGTTACATCACCAAACATTATAAAACATCCCCCCCTTTTTCAAAATCTAAGGGGGTCCCATCATAAAACAGAACATCACTGAGAGACCATCTTATGGGTCCTCATCACAACTTAGATGACTTTTACAGACGGACTGCGCTTCCTCCCCTTATACTCTGCCTTATCAGCTGCCGTGGGCAGGTCGCACAAGTATATCGAGGAGTAGACAATTTTACTTACAATCATATTCACAATACCCAAGATACATAAAAGGTTTTTCACACATTGTCCACACAAACTCATCATACATCAGAGTACAACCACACATGTGAGAGAGACAAGTGATCGTCACATATAAGAATGGTCCCCGAAGGAAACCTCATCATAATATACACTCAGGGAGTACAATGTCTCACACAGAAAGTGTCTCCAAATTATAGTTTGCTCAACTCAAGCCACACCAAACCCACACTCACAACTACCCCTAGAATACATGTCAGATCTGTCTCTCAAAGGCTAGGGCGTAGGCCACCTAAATATGTACATGCCTCATCTAAGCCACCCTGACCCTCAAAACCCCAACTAAGTAGAAACACTAGAGTTCAGATCTAGATTAACAGCAATCATCAAAATGTCTTCTAAGTCTAAGAGGGTATCATACAGAACCTAAGTTGATGCCTCACAAAATGCTCGCTCACTTATATAGACAAAACCGGCCTTACCTCCTCAACTCCTCCTGGTTTTGCCTATATAACCGAGCCCTAAGTCCATCTGCAGACTTCTATACTATCCTACCCTCTCTATCATACATTTTACCCCCTACCTCTGAGATCTTCCCTGCTGCCTTATCCTCAAGAAACTTGAGACAGTCCAAAGCCAGATGCACGTCCCTCTTGCAGTAAAAACATAGCTGATCTACCTTTCTCTTGAACTTCTTCTTCCTTGGCTGAGGAGGTAGCGATGAAGGAGATCCCTCCAAGGTACGGACACCCCCCTGCTGCTCTGATCGAGGAGTTGCGGTACTAATGACTTCCTGCTGCTCTGTCCCCGGAACCGGTCCACCAGACCCAGATCTAGTAGCCCAAGATCCTAGTCTGCCTCTCAAATCCTCTGTCGCTGGGACATACTCGGGCGTGTCCAACCTCTGAGGCCTCCTCTCGAGTGTCGCCTCTGGCACTGCCATGGGCTGCTCCTCAATCTCCTCTGGTCCATACTCAGGTGTGCCTATCCTCTGGAGTCTGCCCTCGATGGCACCCTCCTCCTCAATCCCCATCTCTCTCTCAAGAGACTCCTCTATCCTCATCTCAGGTGAAAACAAACTCACCTCCTCCTGCATAGTATGCACCGCCTCAAGGAGCACGCCCATGGATTCCTCTACTGAGCCCTGAGCCGGCTCWCTGCTAGATGGTGGCAGCCCCTCCTCTACTGCCAAAGGTACGACTGGGCCCGCCGCTGCTACTGGCAGTGTCGCGAGCTCGGTAGGGGCTCTGAACTCGAACGCCTCTTTCTCCGCCTGTCTCTGTGCTATCGCCTCCTCTGACTCCAGGATAACCCTCCCCATAGGTGGCTCCTGGCGAGGCTCTGTCGCAGATGGCTGTCCTGGCAATCCTTGTCCTGGCTGCCTCTGCTCTCCCTGCCGGCTGCTCTCCCTGCCGGATGCTCTCTGGTCTGTTCATCTTTCCCTGGGTTTGCTGCCTCAGGCTCTCAATGATAGCTGCCTGGATGGCCACCAAAGCCCTAAGTTCCTGAATTTCCATCTCCATAGCCTCCAGACGTACTCCATGGCTGGCTTCCTTCATTTTCTTCCCCGCCAGATCGCCCTCCAATAACAAGTGCCGGTCAAAAGTGGTCTTGGCCAGGAACTTGATTTTACGATCTAACCTTTCTTCCGCCTTCCTGGCCACCCCAAACCCGGCTCTGACTGGCAATGGAAGCTCCTCTCCTCTCTGCTCCCAGAAGTCTCTCCACATCTCAGGAATCTCCGGGGCCTTGGTTGGCGCACTGGGTGGCTGACCTGGGAGTGCTCCTGCTGCTTCCGATCTCTGCCTCTCCTGTTGCTGTTGCGGAAGCTCCCCCGCTGCCTCCAACCTCTGCCTCTCCTGCCATATCTCATCTATCCGTCTAGTTCTTCTTGCTCTCTTTTCTTTAGCCGTTTCTCCAGCTGACACCCTTTCCCTCGTGCGGAGGTCGACCCTCTTTGGGATCTCTGCTTCCATCTCCTTCTCGGGCTGGCATGACTCCTGGCGTGGCTCTGCAGGTGCTGGCCCCTCCAGGTCTGGGTGCTCCAGGGCATGAGCTGCTAGGTGCCTATCAATCAGGATCAAAGCTTCTCTCCTTACAGCTGCCCTCTCTCTCCTTCTTTCTGCCCTCCCTTCTCGCGAAGGAGCCTTTTCTGACGAAGGTAAAGGGGTCTCCTCTCTCTGCAACCCCTCATTTGCCTGTCGGGTGCTCCTTGGTGCATCCCCGAGTTTCAAACCCACTGCTGGCGTCTGTGGGGGCGTGTCCTCTCCAACCTCTATCACTTCCTTCCCTGCACGTCTCCCCTCATCGCCCAGCCCTCTCTCTCGCTGAGTACCCCGGACCTCTTCCTGTGGTACCTCCTCTCGTGGCATCTCCTCTCGTGGTATCTCCCCCTGTGGCACCTCCTCTCGTGGCACCTCCTCTCATGACACCTCCTCTGCCTGCTCTCCATGCCCCTCACCCTGAAGCGACGCCCTCCACCGAGAAATATCTAAATGCATCTCCAATTCCCTCAAGGGCCCCTCTGATGCTGGTGGCTCCCCCTGTGTGTTTGCTGGCGACCTCCTCAATCCACCCTCAGTAAAACGATGGAACTTCACTGGCCCCAACCCACACTYAGGGTATGCCCCTCGCTCCTCATCCTCTAGCTCCTGCTCTCTCCTGGCTAGGGCCTTCCGTCCTCCTCGAGATGGTCTCACCTCCCTGGGCTCAGGGTCCCTCGGCCTCTGACTCCTCTGCCGCCTCTCGACTCTGGGCTGAGGGAGCTCTGGCCGTCGAAAGGCCTCTCTGAAATGTGCCCTGCAGCTCTCCCAATCTCGTGCCATGTCCCTCATCTGCATAGCCAGTGGTCTTTCCGCCTTCCTGGTCCAGAGTGGTAGCGTCTGCATCCAATCATCTTTTGGTATGCCCTGCTCTTGCATGAACCATTCAAACGCGGGGATGAAGTCCGACGCATTTCCAATCTCCAGGCGGATCGGCCTGCCATCAGGTCCCACAGGCGAGGGTCGCAACTCCTCCATCCTCATCTCTACCCCCTGCCTCGTCGTCGCCTCCCTACGAATCCTGGCAATGGGCTCTTCGAACCTACCTGCTCCCCTCAATCTCTCAATCACCTGAGCGACGGTCCAGCCCATAYGCCTCGCATGCTCCCAGAAACTGTCCAGGAATAGCTCGATGTCCCCATCATTGTAGACTGGAGTACTCTCTCGATGGCGAGGCCCATGCCGCTCATATCCTCCTGATGCGCCCAACGGCCTCTGAGGCGGCCGTGTCCCCTTCCCTCCTCTTGGCATGGCTGTCTTCGTAAAGTCAGACCTGCACAACAGGCGAAGGAGACAACAGGCACACATTGGGGTAAGCAAGCAGGTGATAATCAGAGCAAGCTCAGGCCAGACCATACTCATGCAGCATGCATCCTTCCTAACCTACACACCCTGTTACTTCTATTCTAAAGGCGGTCAGGTCATCTCTCTTACCTCTTCTCTCGCCACAAATTTCTTCAGTCGCGTTCCAGATACCCAATCCTTCCACTCAGTCTCATTTAACTCCTCGATCTGGTACGCTCCGAAGTCTCCGACCCGTGCGATTCGGTAAGGACCTAACCATCTCTTATCGACTTCGTGGACCACTGCTTCTCCAGCGATGTATCGTAGAGAAGCACGACATCCCCGACTACCAAGGGTACTTTCCTCACTCGCGCAGACTCATCCCATCGAGCCTTATCATCCATACGGCTTCTCGCCACCTGATCAGATGTCTCCTGGATTCTTTTTTCTATCGCCCCAACCTGCCGCGCCCGAATATCGAGCAACTCTTCAAATGACAGGTTAACTTCCAAATCCTGGCGCCTCCATGTCTTAAGAAAACTTTCGATAGGGAAGGTGGCATGCCTTCCGTACCACAGCGTCGCAGGTGCGTACTTGGTGGATCTCTTTACTGTAATGTTCTCAACAAAGAAAGTCGCCCTTAGGTATCTTGGTCATTGATTAGGCCTACCTTCGGTCCATTTGGTCAGGAGATTCGTAATGGTACTATGTCCTCTCTCTACGGGAGCATTTGCCTGGGGGTGCGCGGTCGTGGTGTAGTTGGCTGCCACACCATACCTTGATAACAGTTCTTGCACCTCCTGGCAGGTAAACTCTGATCCCCTGTCCATTACGAATTCCCTGACGAAAGGATAACGCAGGTAGTACTCCTCGATGCAGCTCACCAGGACTGACCTGGTCTTTGTGCGAATAGCACGCCCGTCTACGAACCCAGACAGGTTATCGCGCGCATCGAAGATATAGTTATAGCCTTGATCCCCAAGTGGCATAAAAAGTAGATCGAGATGCACTACAGCCCCCACCTCTGGCTCTAGCCTGGGATGCAGCGGCTCTCCTTGCCTTAAACGGGATCTTTCCTGGCAAGGTACGCAAGATCGGCAAAACTTTCCGGCCATATCCATCATCCCATCCCAGTAGTACAACTCACTTATTTTGGCATACGTGGCTTGTACCCCTCGATGTCCTCCTGCAATACCATCGTGAAGCGCCGCTACAACGTCGATCTGACGATTCCTACCGCAGACGACTCTCTTGGGATTCCCCACTTCCCTTCTCACGAAAAGGTGACCGTGTCGCACTAAGTAGCGCTGCAGCATCCTTTGAGCCATATCGCTCGCATCTCTTAGCCGCATTTCACATGACAGAAGAAGCCTCAGCTCTAGGTAGATCCCGTCGTACTCCTCTGCACGAAAAGCTTCCTTAATTTCCCCTTCTTCGAACTCGTCGTCCTGGCTCTCGGGTATTTCGTCCACATTCCCTGCCGGGTTCAACGAGCCTGATTGGTCTAGGCTTTCCTGCAATAACGTATTGACGAGGAGATACATTCCTCCCATCACGTCCTCATGCCGTTCTACCTGGCCAGGTCCTTCCTCAATCCACTGAACATCCTTACCGCCCGAGGGATCCTCTTCTTTAAAGGGTTTGAGGACCAACTTGGTCCTCCTTTCATATCCGCTCGGCGCTTGCCAAATAGGATAGCCTACACAGCTGGGCACTCGCAGCAACCACTTATTGATATGGAGACGAACATCTTCTTCCCGATCTAGAAATCCATCAACTAGGGGCGTATTCTCCACCGCCTCCCCTTTCTGCTTATCCCAGTTGATCCGACTCAGCCCGTCTGCCCGGTTCTTACTACCAGGAATCCGTTCTAATTCGAAATTGAACATCCAGATGTACGTCAGCCATCTGGCAATCGTCGGATCCGATGGAACGTAATTCCTTAGAGAGTAGGCCAGGGCGGTCGGATCCACTCTCAAAATAAATCTCCTGCCGAAGACATAGTTCCGGAAGATTCGCAGACAGTGGAGGACAGCAACGGTCTCCCTCTTGAACTGAGAGTAGTTTCTCTCTGTCGTACTGAGAGTCTGGCTCTCAAATCGCAAGGGCCTTTCCTTTCCTTCCATGTCGGTCTGTATTAGAACTCCCCCTAAGGCGGTCGGTCCCGCATCCGTTTCGACAATGAAGGGTCGCGTCTCTGTGGCGTCATAATCTGGTGCTCCTAACACGAACCCTCCTTCTCGAAATTCCTCTTTCATTTTTGCCACCACCTCTTCTTGTTCCTCACCCCATACCCATTCCTGATCCTGACGGACTAACTTCCTCAGGTGTTCAGTCTTAGCGGCAAAGTTCTTGACGAAGGCCCTCAAAAATCCACACGTACCAAAGAAGCTCCTCACATCAGTTATTGAGTGGAACGGAACTGGCCACTCAGTAATCTTGTCCGTGTTCTTCACATCCGACCTTCGGCCCTTCTCATTGCAGACTATCCCCAAGATAGTCGCTTCCCTCATGCAGTGTCTGGATTTGGCCCCGCTTGCCGTGAGGTTATGCTCTTCGAGCAGGCTCA